AGGGGGCTGGAAGTGGACTCCTTGCAAAAAACTAAGATCCAGAAAAGGGCAGAACCATTGAAGAACTCTACCTAACAGCCCAACAATAGGCAAAAACTTGCTTCTGGGGAGGGGCAAAGAATTATGTTGGGGGTAGGTAGAAAAGCTGTGTCGATACCATCAGTGATACTTTTAATTTTTACTTTACCTTTTTTTCACTTTAAACAACAGAAATTTATTGTCTCACATTTCTAGAGTCTGGATCAAAGCATTAGCAAGACCATGCTCCCTCTTAAATCTGCCGGGAGTGTCCTTCCTTGCGTCTTCTAGCTTTTGGAGTTTGCCAGGAATTCTTGGTATTCCTTAGTTTGCAGATGTATCACTCCAGTCTTTGTATCTGTCATCCCATGGCTGCCTTCTCTCTGTGTCTTCATATCATCTTCTCTCTGTGAGAGTCTGTGTCCACATTTTCCCTTTTTATAAGGCCACCAGTTCTATTGGATTGAAAGCCCACCTTCCTTCACAATGACCTCATCTCAACTAATTATACCTCCAACAACCCTATTTCCAAACAAAGTCAAATTTTTTAGGTACTGGGAGGTTAGAACTTCAACATATGAATTTTGGGGGGACACAATTCAACCCATAACAAGGAGAAAGTCAGAATTCTGAGGAAAGAGATTGCTAACTTATAGCCAGAGAATTGACCAAAAACCCCAATAATTTTGCACATTCTCCTCTGTTTTCTTTCACGTTATGAGTCAATACAAATTAGAAGTTCAACTAGGTTGCCCAGTTATTCATCCCCGGTTGGAGAGCTGTTTGGGGGCTGGGGAGGTCCATCAAATGTGTATCCTATTAGGGAGGTGGTTGGCATGCGGGGCTTATTCTGGGTGAGGGCAGTGGTGAGGTGGGGGGGGAGCTGACAGAAGAGGTAGATGAATCCAGGCACAAGTCAAACAAGAACTTTCTGTTCCAGATTCACTTCCCAGCATGTCACAGAAAACAATTCCTACTGGACCTGGGGAAAGTGACTTCTTTAAATAGAATGTGACTTCTTCCAGAGAGTAATACTTTTTTATTAAATAAACATTGTCTAATGACATACAAATGTTTGCTATATTATTCTCTGTATTTTTCTATAGCCTAAAAATGTATCCAGTATATAAAAACATAGTTTAACACAGAAAGTAAGACTTGAGCTCAACCTTGAAGCACGAGTAGGACTTGGAAATGCAATGATGAGGAAAATAACATTATACTTTTAAGGACGATTTATGCATCCACCTGGAAAAACTAGGAGACTAGAAAAACTCAGCCCACCTGGTGGCTCTGAGAACTGGAAACTTCCTCTCATCCTGTGGCCTGCTTTCAGCTCTGCCAGCTGTAGAGCCTGCCATCAGAGATGGAACACAGTAAGAGACTCTGTCTACTCCTCCTCTTTTGAAAAACCAAAGATGGGTTCCTCAGTTCCCTCAAACACTGCTGAGGAACCACTGACTCTGGGCTCACCAGCAGTGTTTGTCAGGCAGGGTGAGCTGGCAGGCACTGCCTCTGATCTCCAGGGGCAGGATTTGGAACTGAGAGTCAAGGGGGTTGTGTGTACACTTGAGAATTCAATTCCCAGGGCCATGATTAACTTGAGGCTTGTAACTGTGGAAACAGTATTAAAGTCTCAGATTGAAATGGTAAATGGGAAGTGAAATGGGAACTCAAGATTTAAAAAAATCACTCAAAAAGGCCACTTTGCAAGAATGTAAAAGCTGTGCATTTGAAACAGAAATTTAGACTACTCAACTCCAGTGAAGAAGTGAGTTGAAGTAATTAGTTGAAATTGAAATCATCTGGTTCGTTGCATCAAAACATTTGAATAATTTTCCTCAGTTCTCTGCTTGCCTGTGAAAAGCTGGATTGAATCCATGGTGCATACATGGATTGCTGACTATTCCCCATAAAATAGTGATGCTAAAATACAGTACAAACAGAGATTTGAGGGCTTGATATGTGCCAGACATTACATATGAGTACAATTTGAGGGGGAAAAAAAGGATTCTAGACAAAATGAGAATTTTATTTCAGGCAAAACCTGTTAGGCCATGAGTTGGATTGGCAAATCATTTTTAGGAATAAAAGCCAAAGGTTCTCTGTTTATGTCTTTGAATTGAATAGAAAACCCTGACCTGTCAGAGACATGCTATACCTTCACCCCATCCCTTCTCATAACTCTCTGCATCTGTCTTCTGCTGTTACTTACAGACTGTGATTTTTATTTTCATATTTCATGTTCCCATCCTTCTCAGAATCTTACACCTGCTTCCCTCTACCTGAATGTTCCAATTACGCTTCAAACTCAGTATTACCCACGCTGCTCTTACCTTTCTCCCTCACCCCATCCACAACCAAATTTGCTTCTCTTCCTATATTTCATACAATGGGATAAAGTGTCATATTTGAGAGTCACCTTGACTCCTCTTTCCTTATTCTTCGCTCCACTTCACATCTATATCTCTGCATGCTGAACCCACTTCTCTTCATCTATATTCCCACTATCTTTTTAATAGTTCAGACCACCATCA